CCTGCTCGTAGGGACCCGGCCTGCGGGACGGGACGGGACGGGACGGGACGGGACGGGAGCCACCAGCACGGGCACACCTGGATGTGCCTGCAGTGCCCAGCGGCCTCTCGTGCCGGCTCGGCCTCGCTGCACACCTGGGCCACCCTCGTGTACCCTCCATCGGTCACAGGCCAAATTACTGCAAGAACTGGGCAGGTGATTGCGGGGAAGTGATGTTTGGCTAATTAACCTAGACCCCGAGAGCTCTGCGGGGTCAAATGTGTGTATTGGTTCCCATCTCACCACATGAACCACTCGATATGGCCATTCAACCAACTCAAATCCTTGGTTTTCTCACTCCACACACAGATATGTGAACTCTGTCAGGGTTCACTTGGGTTACTAGACAGCAAATAGCTTCCGAGATGGAGATTTGTAACTAGTTAAAATAACTTCCGTTCAGAGATTTACACTTCCACTTCCCCATAAACCAGAGACCTCTTAATCATTTTCCTCTAAATTCATTTTCCTCTAAATGTGCATTGGAAACATATGTCAGGTAACAGAGGCTCTGTCTCTGGCAGAAGTTTTTCCAAATCTCAGCCTACAGCCCTTTGCCACATGCACCCTGCCCTCTCCCGTGCATGTGGCTCCCCTGATACTGTCATGGATGTGCTTTTGGTTGTGGGGTTTGCTTGCTCTGTTTCCATCTATTACACAAACTGTAGAGGGAGCTATGTGCCATTCTTGGCTTCTGAGACACCTCCAGGGAAAGGAGCAAGGCAGTGTTATGTAGCAGAACTGATTAAAAATTGAAAGGAAGTAGTTGCACTTTATAGTGGTAAACTAATCTCTCCAATGTCTCATACTGGAAAGATGCAGGTAAGAGGAAGAGTAATGTGGAAATTTCATATTTAACTGCCTTTTAATTTTCAAGCTTGCCACATAAGGTACTATCTGTTCTATCTCCTAATGTAAGGTAAATAGCTATGGACCGAGCTACAATATCCATTTTGACTGGAGTCTACCTTAGAATTCATATAGTGTGTCTCAAGGCACATCAAAGCCCAGAGCTGTAAATTATCAGCTCACGTACATTGAAATCCAGGCATACACCTTCTGATTGTCCTGACTTTTTTTTAAATCAAATTCCAGCACTGTCTCTATGCTGCTGTATGTAAGCATTACATCAGTCAGAAAGCTTGTGTGCTTTTACCTTTGTATGGAATACTTACCGTGTGTGACTAGATGTTCAATACTGTGATCTTATAAAATCACAGTTGGTTCCCAGAGGACTTTGCAAGGAGAAATGCTATTTGTTTAAAGAAGAGGCATTCTTATGTTATTTTAAATCACCTTCAAACTCTAATTCTAGTTAAATTTATTGTCAGTTCAGTCAGGAAGGATGGAAATCAGATCAGCTCTGGCTCCCAGATTAGTTTTGGGGATGGTCTCTTTGCTCCCTTCTCCTTTTCCTCAACCCCATTTCGTGTCATGCTCTCTCATATCTGAGAGGTTCAAGGCTGGGAATCTTCCAGACTCTACCCAGATTAACCAGGTTGACCAGTGTTACTTCTAAATTCCAGCAAGATACTCCAAGGCCAGTACTCCCTAATATTAGGCTTCCAGATGCCATCACTGCTGTGGCATGGAGTAAGGAAGCCATCAGCTTAAGATCAGTGGAGAGCAGAGCCTGAAAGGATGTGGATGGATCAAGAGGGGCAGCAAACTGTGTGGCTGGGGGAAATAATCTAACTTTACCAAGTTAGTCACAATGGGGAAGGAAGTCATGGGGTAAATATGAAAGCTGATGATCGGGGGAGAGGAATGGGATGCCAAGGGGACAGTGGACTAGAACACGTTAGGAGGGGAAAGAAAGATAACACTGAGGTGAGGATCAGTCCTGCTGCCGCCTCTGCTCTTCGGATGTCTGTTGGTGGTGGCCAGGATCTTACCATGTTTTTTCTGAATATGCAGGAAAGAGACCCGTCCAGGAGCCTCAGCTGGGCTGCATGCCCTTGGGTAGGGAGATGGGTAGGGAGATGACCGCTTGCCCTCTGCCTGCACCTCTGGCAAATTCACAGTAGAATCAAGGTTGTTCATCACTGGGAAAGCTTCACAGATTAGAAGTAGACTCTGCAAATTTTAATTCTTTAATATAGGAACCAACCTGCAGATGACTTATTGATCATTATATAATGATTATCAAGACATTTTAAAACCACATATTGATTATGGGAATAGTAAGAAGGGAAACTAAACCTGAAACCTCTCTGTTTGGAGAATGCATATTTTTATGTTTGTGGTCTTCTCTATGATCTTCCAGGACTCTAAACTGGTTAGCTTAGAGATAGCTCTGAAATAATTTCTTGCTCAGCAAAGCAATTTCTTATGCTTTCTATACTGTGATGTATAGTTGTTAACATGAGTGGAATGCCTCAAATAACATCGGTAACAGATCAGTTTCCTTATGTTAATAGCTCTGCAATATTTTATAATACTTACTAATGTTTTGAAATTTTGTGGTGTTATAGGACATTCGTCATGCCATGCTAGCATTAAAGTCAGCAATATTGTCATGCCCAGTTGTGAAAATTTTGCTCACGTGAGTAAATGTGAGTTTACATCAATGTTTTCTGTCTTTGCATGTAATTGCCTTAACATTCTTAGTTAATATAGATTTATTAAACCCCGTGAGTTATATTACACCCATTTTGTACGTAGGGAATCTTTCTGTGGACATATTGAAAGCCTGTGGTGAAATCAGAAATGTATGAGATCCTCATTTTATATCGATTTCTATCATTGTGCCATAATTGCAAGATCACTACTTTGTTATTAAGCAGAGAAAAATCTGTATCTGTTGAAATATTTTAGTGAAGATAAAGGGAAAACGTAGATTTGGTATTTAGATACTTCTGTAAACCTTCAGAGAGCTGAGTAACTGATATGCCCTAATGTTCTGCACCAAGGCATGGAGGGTTCAAAATTGCTGGCTCCTTTCCTGCTTCTTACTCACAGCGTCATGTGTGATGCATTCATCATCCTTTTCAGAAATTTTTTTTGAGAATTATGCCTTAGAAAGGAATTTGATGGGCAAATGTACATGCGTACATTTAACTTGGTTTTCATCAGAGATGCCTTGGGGTAAATGAAGTTGTGCAACCACACACGAGAATTCAAACTAAATTGCTAAATTGAAACTATTTACGTAGTTCGACCCATGGGAGACTTTTAAGAGGCTGGTTTTAACATGCCTCTGAGTGGCAATAGCCACTCGTATATGTTATGTTGCATATATACTGCTTGATGCTGTAATGCTGTCAGTCCTTTCTTTGCCATAGATCTTCCACCACAACAGTGGAATAGTCTCTCAGAGTAATTCCTTTACCTCCCGAATGTCTTAATAACAGGAGTTAATCTTGCAGTTCATTGGATCATCCCTTAGATATTTTTTCCAGATCATGACAGACACTAATGCAACTACCAGATCTTGTTTACTTATGTTTCCTTCCTGTGCTTGCATGTGAGAGGAAGAGAGACTCCTTGGTTAAGTCAGTCTAATCCCAGTTAATTTCGTTTTATACATTTAATCTCATCTGACATTAGTAGAGGTACTCATATTTTAATATAAGTAGATTAGAATGAGATTTAACAATCTTTCAGTTAAACCACTATGTGTTCTTATGATCAAAAAAACAAACCTAGGCGTTTTCTCCCCTGAAATTTATTTTGTGGCTGTTTTCTGAGTATAAAATGGCTAAATTAAGAAAAACGCAATATAAGTATTAAGTAACAATAAAACCTCTTTAAAAGGAACTGTGTACATTAGTATACTTTCTAATATGAAATCTCCTTTCAGCTAATGACTTTTCTATGAAGTAATTGTAATAAATGAATCCAAACAGGTTAGTTATTTACAGAAGTTAATAAGATTATTTCTTTCTCCACCATAAATATTTTTAAAATGCTTATCTTTCATATTACGTGACATGTGTAACTTCTTCATGAAGACGCTATATGACAAATTCAATGTTCCTTAAAATTTTTTGTTGTAAACATGACTTCAAGGTCAGATAAAACAGAGTTTCAGTTTGAAAAACATATAGGCCCTAGGCTGTCATTACACCCATTTTTGGGAGCTGTAATAGAGAGCAAGGCACACTGTACTGTTTGACTTGGCTGTTATAATGTTTACTCCACTAATACACTTTCTTTTTTGAAGTCATTTGATATGAACAAAAAACATTCCTGTGCTGAAGATACCCAGCAAACGTAAATTGAGTTTCTTTAATATGCTGCATCTGTGTGCCTTGAAATATCAATATTACTGTTGAGAAGCTTCCTTCTTGATGACCAAGGGTTGAAGAAATGATAAATATTATGTAGTATCTGTTGGAAAATGGATCAGTCTAGCTGTAAGAGAGTAATTCTGGACTTGGTAATGGAACAGAAGGAGCTTGGTACACTAGTCTAGCTCCCAGCTATCTGCTCATCTACTCTGCAGCATGAAGGACTTTATTCTGAAATGATGTCTCCACTTCCAAAGTTTGCTTTCATGTTCTATGCTAAGGGAGGGTCAACTGGCTTTTCAAACACAGGACTGACTTCTTAAAAATATATCCCAAGAATTCCTGTTTATCACAGGCAGCTTTTGGCTATTTTGTATTTTGAATTACAGCCTGTGCACTGATAATTACATAGCACAGATGTGGCTTTCCTCCTCCAACTATCAGCTATCAGTAGATTTCTGTGTTCAGTCAGTCTTCTATACCATCACAGAACTGTATTTTTGTCATCTCTAAAAACTCCACAAGTCCGCACTGACAGAGACTGTGTCCCTCATTAGGTGTTCTCTGCTGCTTCAGGTTGTTGACTCAAATGGTAATAATCAGTGTAAGAATCTTAGAATTAGTCCCTCTCAACAAAGGGCAATTGCATTTCTTGATCATCATCTTAGTTGTCCGGTGCAACTTACGTATTCTCAAATATCTCTACACTTGCCTTTATAGACACATAGGTTTTCTGTATTTCAATGTCATAAATGCTTTTAGGAAAGCTGGTTTCAGGTTAGCATGATGACAGCAGTGCTGTAAGAAGGATGGAGCAGGGAGTTACCAGAGTTGACTTCTGCTGGCCTGTGTGGTTTGACTTAGGCATTAGGAGAGCATGGGCAAAAATAAACTTCCAATAACCACTATTTAGTGAGAAAACTCTTGGTTTGCTGCAAAACCTCAAATGTTGAATTCTGAGAGTCTCAAAAAATGTGAAACTGTGCCATTGTATTTTGTTTTTTAATGTATAAGGGGTTGAGTTAGGGCCCTTGTAGATCTTTAACTCTGGCATTTGAGTGCTGTTAACTTTAAAATGTTTGATTAGCTGTGTTTGGAGCTTTGTGAGTGTATTTGAATGGAATGAAAAGTAGACAGAGGAAAAATGTTCTTAGGTTGAATGTTTTCATTAGAACAAAGAAAAACTAAAAATGGGTGGCACTGACTTGTCTGAATTTCAAATGCTTTTGCTTTTGCTCATAAAGAACCTGTACTTAGTATTCAGACAATTCTATAAATGGTTAGAAATAGCTTACACTTCCATTTGCTTGAAAAGCTGATGTTATTTGGAATCCAACTGTGCTTCATCTTTTTCCATTATATTTAAGTTCAAAATAAAATCAGACCAATTTTTGTTTTCTATTACCAGTGTTCATCTTCCACGCCACACTGTGTGACTGTGGCTCTTGCTGATACCAGCAGAACATCTAGGATTATGAATCTCTCCTGCAGCTCCTAATTTGCACTTGATACCTGACTACTGTAACAGCTGCCAGCATAGGAGGAAAAGTGCCTTCCTTTTAAAGAGAAAATACTCCTTGGTTATGTAAGATCTCTAGACAGTAAAATCCCCCTGTAATCTTTCTATTACAAACATTGGCTCTTCGATACTTTGATGAACTAGGAATAGTTTGTCAGATGGTGACAGGCCCACAAGTTAGCAGGAACTTTGAAATACACCTGCTTAGGCCTTTTGCATATACTGTGTGCTCTAGGGCTTCAAAGTGTTTTCTACATCTCCAGCAGTCAACAAATACTCTGATGTGCAAGGAGAGCATCCAGAGAGCGAACAGCATAGCTTCTCTGGGTCCTGCTTACGAAGAAGCAGCTCTTAACCATTTTCCATATCAAGAATTTATGTGCTAGACTGAAATAAAAGAGCTAGAGCTTGAATACTATGTTTACCGAAAACCAGATTCTCCTGAAGAGGATGTGCAGAAGGCATCCCTTCAGAAGCAATCATCAGGAAAAGCAAGAAGCTAAAATGAATAGGACGAACTGACAGTAATCTCCTAGCACCCTAGGTCTGATATTACTGTACAGTACTTCTTTATTTCCAAAATAGCGGCTGCATCTTTGTGTGGCAGGTTATTTTCTAGATTTGGTTAAGAAACCCAAAAAACAAACGCATCATTTTCTATAGCCACATTTTAACTTGAACAGAATTTAACATAATTTCACACAACAAAAGCAATATTTAATTCAAAATGCATGACGGAGACATAAAAATTTGAGAAATTTGATGCTTCGAAACTTGAGATGTATGAAAACACTGGGGTTCATGGGTATGATGAAGTCCAGTTCACTAAAAATTAGCAGACTGCTTGACTTTGAGCAGATGTAAACAAACAAACAAAAAATCTTGATCAGCTGCAATAAATTCCATATTCTAACCTTGTATGTTGCTTTTCCTTGTTCTTAATCTGGTTGGAAACTCAACAGCCTTGTAATTAACGTGTAAAATGGCTAGGCAAAAAAACCTCTCAAGTTGCATTTTTCAGATACTTCACAGAATCCTTTCCTCCCTGTGTGCCGTGATTCTGAGGGAGGCATGCTTGGCATAGGCAGCTCTTGACACACAGCAGAGGCTTAAGCTAATACAGGAATTTTAAAATCTCAGGAGGAATTCTGCAGTCCTTTGATCCTGAGGTGTTACTTTTTTAAACACACTGAACTGCCAGGCAGAGACAGTCATTAAGTGTGGGAGGTGGAATTCCAGCATGAGAGGCCAGAGCTGGCTGGATTTCAGTTTCCAAACTCTTTTGGCATAGC